AAAATTACTACCCAAGTGAATTTTCACGCAGCATGAAATAATACGGAGGGGTTATTATTGTATAGGTCAGTGGTTCTCAACCTGTGGGTCGGGACCCCATTTGGGGTCGAATGACCATTTCACGGGGGTCGCCAAACCACGCTATCTGCCATTTTTTCCCTTTTCCCTAGCTGTCCTACTCCCTCTTATTGGTGGCCACACCCACTTGGGGGTCACCACAACATGGGGAACTGTATTATGGGGTCATGGCATTAGAAAGGTTGAGAACCACTGGTATAGGTAGAGTGGTACCTTGGTACTCTATTTTAATTAATTGGTTCTGGAAGGCACAATTACTACCCAAAATGATGGGTATACCAAACCAGTTTTCCCCATAAGAAATAATGTTGTGAGTCACAATCAATCAATCCGAATAGAGCTGGAAGGGACATTGGAGGTCATCTAGTCCAGCCCCCTGCTCAAGCAGGAGACCCTATACCGTTTCAGGCAAGGGGCTGTCCAGTCTCTTCTTAAAAACTTCCAGTGTTGGAGCGCCCATGACTTCTGACTGCCAGCTGTTCCACTGGTTAATTTTTCTCACTGTTAGGAAGTTTCTTCTTAATTCCAGGTTTCTGAGCAAGCAGAGAAGCAACCTAGAACTAAGGAGAAACTTCCTGACAGTCAGAACAATTAACCAGTGGAACCACCTGCCTCCAGAAGCGGTGGATGCTCCAACAGTGGAAGTTTTTAAGAAGAGACTGGACAGCCCTTGGTCTGAAATGGTATAGGGTTTCCTACCTGAGCAGGGGGTTGGACTAGAAGACCTCCAAGGTCCCTTCCAACTCATCCTAAGTGTCAACCAGGTACCTCCTTTAAAATATATGATGTTCCGAGTAGCACAGTTTTTTATAACATTGCTAGGAAGCTGCAGTTTCTTGATGTATTTTGTGAAGTTTTTGGACATAGTTCCCAGTGCCCCAATGACAATGGGTATCGCTGTTATACGTTTCATCCATAATCATGTCCTTGCTTTCTCAACTAAGAGAAAGAAGAGACTGGACAGCCTGTCTAAAATGGTATAGGGTTTCCTGCCTGAGCAGGGGGTTGGACTAGATGACCTCCAAGGTCCCTTCTAACTCTATTATGGATCATTGCACAGTCAGCCAGATGTTCAGACTGGATTTGGCATTTTGTCTACCTATCGAGTCCTTACCCAGGACCTGGGATAGGCAGATGTGGATGTTTGATGGTATTACAGATATCGTCACAGGATGGAAGCAGTTCCTAGTAAGGCCGCCTTTTGCAATTGACTAACAGCGAATTTGTCAATGCCAGTGGTGTTCAGGTGGGGCTCCAGTTGTTTTGGGATTGCACCCAAGGCGCCTATGACTATTGGTACTACCCTTGCTTGCTTTTGCCACAGTCTTTCTATTTCTATTTGTAGGTCTTTGTATTTTGTGATCTTCTCCAGTTCTTTCTCGTCTATTCTGCTGTCTCCAGGCATTGCCACGTCCACTATCCAGACTTTTTTTGTCTCTCTTATCGACAATTGTTAAGTCTGGGGTGCTATGTTGCAGGTGCTTGTCTGTTTGAATTCTGAAGTCCCAGAGCAGTTTAACTTTATCATTTTCTATGATTTTCTCTATTTTATGATCCCACCGGTTTTTGCTTACAGGCAAATGATATTTTTTGCAGATCTTCCAATGCACCATTGTTGGTATTATTATTATTATTATTATTATTATTATTATTATTATTATTATTATTATTATTAGTCCTGTTTAAATAAAAAATGCTCGCCTGGAAAGTTTTGCAAGTTATTTTGGGGGAAACCTGGTCGCTCAGGGAATCAAACAATTTCTCGCACTTAAGACACCCATCAACACATCCCTTCAAGCTGTGAAAGAGGGAAACCTTGACGCAGGATTAATTCCAGCCTCATATTCCATGCTCTCGAAGCAACGCCACTTCTGAAGGCTTGTTCGGCACTTGCGGGGGATGGAATTATCACCCCAACACACACAGATGCTACAGCTTTGGAAAAAGTAAACCGGACTTCCCTCTCCGGTTTACCAAACAATGTTTGGTTGCCAGCCTCAAAATGAAAGGAGTTATTTATGGTACGTTCAAAGCACACACAGACAGCTCGCCAACCAAAGCGTCTTTCACATGCAGAGGGAAATCGAACTGAAAGCACATCTAAGGGCTGAAAAGTCCACGAAACTGCTCTCAAACTGATTCTGTTATCTATTTATCTATCTATCCATCCATCCATCCATCCATCCATCCATCCATCCATCCATCCATCCATCTATCTATCTATCTATCTATCTATCTATCTATCTATCTATCATCATCATCATAAATTGGAATGGATCTTGGAGGTCATCTAGTCCAACCCCCTGCTTAGGCAGGAAATCCTATACCATTTCAGACAAATGGCTGCCCAGTCTCTTCTTAAAAACTTCCAGTGTTGGAGCATTCACCGTTTCTGGAGGTAGGTGGTTCCACAGGTTAATTGTCCTCATTGTTAAGAAGTTTCTCCTTAGTTCCAGGTTGCTTCTCTCCTTGATGAGTTTCCATCCGTTGTTTCTTGTCCTGCCTTCAGGCACTTTGGAGAAGAGCTTGACTCCCTCTTCTTTGGGGCAGTCCCTGAGATACTGGAAGGCTGCTATCATGTCCCCCCTCGTCCTTCTCTTCATTAAACTAGACATACCCAATTCCAGCAGCCGTTCCTTGTATATTTTAGCCTCCAGTGCCCTAATCATCTTTGTTGCTCTTCTCTGCACTCTTTCCAGAGTCTCAACATCTTTTTTACATCGTGGTGACCAAAACTGGATGCAGTATTCCAAGTGTGGCCTTACCAAGGCATTGTAAAGTGGTATGAATACTTCACGTGATCTTGAATCTATCTTGATGCAGCCCAGCACTGTGTTGGCCTTTTTGGCAGCTGCAGCCCAGGATTGGCTCCTGTTTAAGGGATTGTCCACTAGGACTCCGAGGTCCCTCTCACAGTTGCTACTATTGAACAAGGTACTCCCTATACTATACCTGTACATTTGGTTTTTCTTGCCTTATTTATTTGCAACACAGATAGTCCTCGGTTTATAACAGTTCATTTAGCGGCCGTTCCAAGTTACAACGGCACTGAACAAAGTGACTTAGGACTGTTTTTTTTTCCCCCTTTCAGGACTGTTGCAGCATCCCCAGGGTCACGTGATCCAAAATTCGGACGCTTGGCAACCAACTCATATTTATGACGGTCGCAGTGCCCCGGGACCTTCTGAAAAACAAAGTCAATTTGGGGGAGCCCAATTCACTTAACAACCGTGTTGCTAATATAACATCTGCCAGTGGTTCACTTATCAACGGGGCGAGAAATGTCGCAAAATGGGACAAAACACTCCTAACCTAGAACTAAGGAGAAACTTCCTGACAGTGAGAACAATTAACCAGTGGAACTCCTTGCCTCCAGAAGCGGTGAATGCTCCAACACTGGAAATTTTTAAGAGACTGGACGGCCATTTCTCCGAAATGGTATAGGGTTTCCTGCCTGAGCAGGGGGTTGGACTAGATGACCTCCAAGGTCCCTTCCAACTTTATTATTATTATTGTTCTTGTTGTTGTTAATAATAACTGTCTTGCTCAGGCAGAGAAATTTTGGTTGTTGTGTCAACAGAAGTCCCTTTTAACAACAGATATTTGGGAATCGATTGTGGTCGTAAGTCTGAGGACCACCTGTACCTGCCCTGAAAAGATTTGCTTTATAGAAAACGCTTGACAAAATGCAAGGTCTTTGAACCCTGGTACCCTGCAGGAACATTCCTTCACAAAGCCCTTCAGAACTTCCAACAAAGTCCTCGGTTTACTTTTTAAATGCACAACCGGCCCCATTGTGTTATTTATTTATTTATTTTAATACAAAGGCTGGGAAAGGCACACCTGCCACACCTGTCACAACAGGGAAAGGCAACAAGAGCAGAGCAAACATGAAGAAGCCGGGTCGCTGCGTTCAGTACAGACAACAAGGTGGAAAAGTTCATTTTCTTCCTGTTGCTGCCTTGCCATTGAAAACAACCAGGCAGTCCTCGACTTACGACCCCAGGGGAGCCCACGGCTTCCGTCGCTAAGCTAGGCGGTTGTTAAGTGAATTTTTGCCTCATTTTACGACCTTCCTCCCCACGGTTCTTAAGTGAATCACTGCAGTACCCCAAAAAGCAAAAACGGCATCTTCAGACTTCGTGTAGAGGTTCTGCTAAAAAAAAAACACCAATCCATAAACAGAATAACAGAGTTGAAAGGGGTGTTGGAGGTCTTCTAGTCCAGCCCCCTCTGCTCAGGCAGGAGACCTTTATACCATTTCAGACAAAGGGTTGTCCTATTTCTTCTCGAGAACCTCCAGTGTTGGAGCACCCACAACTTCTGGAGGGAAGCAGTTCCACTGATTAATTATCAGAAGGTCACACTTGTGACCGTTGGAGCAGCCTCCGTGGCCACATCATCAAAATTCAGACACATACTACTACTACTACTACTACTACTACTACTAATAATAATAATAATAATAATAATAATAATAATAATAATATAAAGTTGGAAGGGACAGAGGTCATCTAGTCCAACCCCCTGCATAGCAACTGACTCATATATATGACGGTCTCATATATATGACGGTCCCCTTTTGTGACCTTCCGACGAACAAAATCAATGGGGAAGCCAGATTCACTTAACAATTGTATTACTAACCACAACTGCTATGGCAGGAAAGATCGCAAGATGGGGCAAAACTCACCGAAGAAAAATCTTTCACTTAGCGGCCCACATTTCGGGCACAGTTGTGGTCGTAAGTTGAGGACTACCCTTATTAGCAGCCTTGTACCTAGGCGAGTCTACGGCGGCCATCGTCCCAAAGAGCACAGGAGATCATTTTTCAATCCTTCCTTGTTGCAGCCAACTTTGAATCATGCCCGGCAGCTATCGCCACGCCACGAAAACGGGACGAGCAGATTGGTCACACTGACCTTCCACTGTTCCTTCGGAAGCAGCTTCACCACCACCATGTCGCCGTTCAGGGCTCTGTTGCGCGCGACGACTCCATCGATGAAAATATCCTGAGTGCCGTCCTGGAAAAGAAGCAACTCTTTTTTAATGGAGGATATGGATTTGGGGGGGGGGGGAGAAAAAAAGAAAGAAAGAAAGAAAGAAAGGAAGGAAGGAAGGAAGGAAGGAAGGAAGGAAGGAAGGAAGGAAGGAAGGAAGGAAGGAAGGAAGGAAAAAGAAAAGAAGAAGAAAGAAGCAAAGAAAGAAAAAAAAGAAGAAAAAGAATGAAGAAAGAAGAAAGAGAAAGAAAGAAGAATGAAGAATGAAGAAAGAAAGAAAGAAAGAAAGAAAGAAAGAAAGAAGGAAGGAAGGAAGGAAGGAAGGAAGGAAGGAAGGAAGGAAGGAAGGAAGGAAGGAAGGAAGGAAAAAGAAAAGAAGAAGAAAGAAGCGAAGAAAGAAAAAAAATAAGAAAAAGAAAGAAAGAGAAAGAAAGAAGAATGAAGAAAGAAAGAAAGAAAGAAAGAAAGAAAGAAGGAAGGAAGGAAGGAAGGAAGGAAGGAAGGAAGGAAGGAAGGAAGGAAGGAAGGAAGGAAGGAAGGAAGGAAAGAAAGGAAGAAAGGAAGAAAGAAAGTCAAAATATCACATGCCAGTTCCCAAAAAAGCAGAAACAGCATCTTCAGACTTCGGGTAGAGGTTCTCCTAAAAAAATATATATCCATAAACAGAATAACAGAGTTGAAAGGGTCCTTGGAGGTCTTCTAGTCCAGCCCCCTTACTCAGGCACAAGACCAGCTTATACCGTTTCAGACAAATGTCTGTCCAGTCCCTTCTTAAAAACCTCCAGTGATGGAGCACCCACAACTTCTGAAGGGAAGCAGTTCCACTGATTAATTGTCCTCACTGTTAGGAAATGGAAGTTGAACGGAAGAGGGGAATAGTAGCAGTATAACAGAGTTGGAAGGGACCTTAGAGGTCATCTAGTCCAACCCCCCGGTCAGGCAGGAAACCCTATACCATTTCGGACAAATGGCTGTCCAGTCTCTTCTTAAAACCTTCCAGTGTTGGAGCATTCACCACTCCTGGAGGCAGGTTGTTCCCCTGATTTAATTGTCCTCAGGAAATTTCTCCTTAGTTCTAGGTTGCTTCTCTCCTTGATCAGTTTCCATCCGTCGCTTCTTTTTCACTTTCTTGCCTTCTTGAGTTTTCAGCTTCAGGAAGCTCATGGTGACGAATTCCTCAAGCTGCTTTTGTGCTAGTTCACGGCTTAAGTCACTCTGTCAGCTCTGGACTAAAAGTGTCACTGGGAGGAACTTATAAACCTAAAGCAAATATTAGCCACTTCAGATAAGGCCTTGGGTCAGGCCAATAAGGAGAAGCAGACTCAAACGCAGGATGTCCTCGACTTACGACCGCAGCTAAGCCCAAACCGTTGGTTACTAAGTGAGATGGTGGTGAAGGGAGTTTTTTGCCCCTAATCGTTGGAGTCGTTAAGTGAGTAACAGGGTCGTTAAAACAAACATGGCTTCCCCATCGACTTTGCTGGTCAGAAGATTGCAAGAGGTGGGGGAATCATGTGACCCCAGGCAAAACTCACTTAACCCCATTTCTCGCTTAGGAACATACATTCAGGGCTTAGTTGTAGCCGTAAGTCAAGGACTACCCGTAGAGCTGGAAGGCAAGGAATGTTGCGGGAACCGTCCCCTAAGGCAGGGCTTTTCAACCAGTGGTACGGGTACCACCTGTGGTACATTGGCACCTGGCAGGTGGTACGCGACCATCCTAGAAAAGTGGTAGCGGGGGGGGGGGGGAATGAGCTGAACCGGTGGCAGCACCGCACAAGCCTGAGCGAGAGACGGCTGGAGCTGCAGGGCTGTCAGGGCTCAGCGGAAGTGCCAGGATCAGTGCCTCTTTCCAGCTGATCGGTGCTTCTTCGGGGCTGTCAGGGCTCAGCGGAAGCACCAGGATCAGCGCCAGGCTCCAGCTGAAACTCGGCACTGATCCTGACGCTTCTGCTGAGCCCAGAAGAAGCGCCCATCAACTGGAATGTTGCAGCCTCTCCAGGGTCTTGTGATTTACATTCAGATGCTTGGCAAATGATTCCTATTTATGACGGTCACAGCGTCCCAGGGTCATGGGAAGGGACCAAAACCTGATGCAACCACCCAGCAGACGGGGGGAATAAAACCAAACACCCCCCCACCCCACCTCCACTGCCAATCCTCAACAGAAATGCTCACAACAATGAAAACCTCGGACAGGAGGAAGAGCACCGCCGGGTGGGCAGGCAGGTGTCTTGCTCGGCTGTGGCTCGGGGGGCACTTTTTTCAGTGCCATTGTAACGTCAAAGAGTCACTAAGCGAACTGTTGTAAGTCGAGGACTACCTGTACTTTATCACTTTTTTCCTTTTTTTTTTTTTTTTGGTCATCAAGTTTTTGACCCCTTGCTAGGCGACGGGTGGTCCTCGGATGTTGCCATATCCTAATACGGGTACAATGGGTGAAAAGGTTGAAAAGCCCTTCCCTAAGGGAGGCACATCTGGAGGGACCCAGAAGAAGAGCCTTCTCCGTGGTGGCTCCCTCCCTTTGGAATGTCATCCCTGCAGAAGTTAGAACTGGCCTCCACTTTGACACTCTTTCATAAGGCCCTGAAGACCCGGCTTTGCCAAAGGGCCTGCGGAACTCAGAGGGGGATGGAGCCCACCAAACGGCTTATTTGACTGGGTGTTGTCACCGTGTGTGTGTGTGTGTGTGTGTGTGTGTGTGTGTGTGTGTGTGTTCTTTGTAAGCCACACAGAGTCACTGAGAGGAAGAGGGCAGCCCATTGTTTTCCAAATAAATCAGAAACTGTCCAGAGAAGAGCAACAAAGATGATTAAGGGACTAGAGGCTAAAACATATAAGGAACGGTTGCTGGAATTAGGGATGTCTAGTTTAATGAAGAGAAAGACGAGGAGGGGGGGGGACAGGATAGCAGTCTTCCAATATCTCAGGGGCTGCCCCAAAGAAGAGGGAGTCAAGCTATTCTCCAAAGCGCCTGAAGGCAGGACAAGAAGCAACGGATGGAGAAACTAATCAAGGAGAGAAGCAACCTGGAACTAAGGAGAAACTTCCTGACAGTGAGAACAATTAACCAGTGGAACAACCTGCCTCCAGAAGCTCTGAATGCTCCAACACTGGGAAGTTTTTAAGAAGAGCCTGGACAGCCATTTGTCTGAAATGGTATAGGGTTTCCTGCCTGAGCAGGAGGTTGGACTAGATGACCTCCACGGTCCCTTCCAACTTTTTTATTATTATTATGGATCATCGCACAGTCAGCCAGATGTTCAGACTGGATTTGGCATTTTGTCTACCTATCGAGTCCTTACCCAGAACCTGAGATAGGCAGATGTGGATATTTGATGGTATTACAGATATCGTCGCAGGATGGAAGCAGTTCCTAGTAAGGCCGCCTTTTGCAATTGACTAATAACGAATTTGTCAATGCCAATGGTGTTCAAGTGGTGCTCCAGTTGTTTTGGAATTGCACCCAAGGCGCCTATGACTATTGGTACTACCCTTGCTTGCTTTTGTCACAGTCTTTCTATTTCTATTTGTAGGTCTTTGTATTTTGTTATCTTCTCCAGTTCTTTCTCATCTATTCTGCTGTATTATTATTATTATTATTATTATTATTATTATTATTATTATTATATACATCAATGCATCAATACATCAATAAATCATTGTACAGATGTGCATTGTGTCTTTGATACAAGAACTGTCTGACAAGTTTTAAAGTGATACAAACAAGGATCAAACAATCATTGGTTGTATAAACAGAGGCACAGAATCAAATTCACGTGAAGTATTACGACCACTTTATAAAAAGACTTAGTAAGGCCACACCTGGAATATGGCATCCAGCTTTGGTCACCACACTATTAAAAAAAAATATATTGAGACTCTAGAAAGCGTGCAGAGAAGAGCAACAAAGATGATCAGGGGACTGGAGGCTAAAACATATGAGGGACGGTTGCTGGAATTGGGTATGGCCAGGCTAGAGAAAAGAAGGACCAGGGGAGACATGATAGTAGTGTTGCAATATTTGAGGGGCTGCCCCAAAGAAGAGGGGATCAACATTGTCCAAAACACCAGAAAGCAGGACAAGAAACAGCGGATGGAAACTAATCAAGGAGAGAAGCAAGCTGGAATTAAGGAGAAACTTCCTAACAGTGAGGACAATTAACAAGTGGAGTAGCTTCCTTCCAGACATGGTGGGTGTTCCATCACTGGAGGTTTTTAAGTAAAGACTGGACAGCCACCTATCTGAAAAAGTATAGGATCTCCAGCATGAGCAGGGGGTTGGACTAGAAGACCTCCAAGGTCCCTTCCAGCTCTATTCGGACGGATTGAAAGTTGGACACTTCGGATTGAGATCAAAACACATTGGAAGCCAAAATGTGTTTCTGGACAAAGCGTATAAAACCGAGAGTTGTGTACAGGAAGAGTTGTCCACGCTTCCAAAGTTTCCTGCCGAATCTTTAAAACAAGGACACGAGAGGTTGGGGGGGGGGGGAAACCCCAACTCCGCTGATGTCAGCAGCAGCTAACAGGTGCTCCTGAGAAAAGTGGGTGTCCTACGTGCCGAAGTGCAAAATAGCGAGCTCAGAAGTGGCTAGAGGAAGCGCGGGGCAATTTTCCCATCATGAGGTTCTTGATGAGGAAAATGTACTCCCCTCCCCCTGCAAGAGCTCCAGGCTGTTGTGCACCCGCAAATATTATTATTATTTTTATTTTCTAGCAACGTTTACGGAGCGCCGGGTACCAACCTCACTTCATGCTGCTGGAATATTTCATTTCCCAGCAGAACCAAGCCGGGGAGATCGACAGCTGGTGCAAAGCTGCCTCCCATGATCCGATGCCGAAAAATTGCAAAGCTTGTTGGATTAAATCACTCAGCCTGGAAGCCAGATTTTGGCCTTGCCGTGTCCCTCCCCCCCCCCGCCCCGGCTTCAGTAATCCCATCACAGGGTTACATCACTCGGCACCCCAGTTGGGATGTGCCAAGAGGTGGACAAAAGGCAGTTTCTTTCGCCCTGATCTTGTTTTTGTGCTTCCCTTATCACACTCCGGGAAACGAAAACTGGCAGGCAAAGTGCCGGATCGTAGAGGAAAGAAGAAAAAATCTCTGCTTCCCGTTGCAGCTTTTTTTCACAAAGAGTTGATTTGGGGGCTTAATAGATTCATTCACCTGTTCCTCTGGCTTGGTTAGGAATTTCCTTCTTGCTAACTCGCTGCAAGAGAGCGGTGAGGGGCAGCCGAAGCCTCCATTTCCCCGTTTACCTGGGGAACTGGCTGGACTTTACAAGCAGCCCTCGACTTAGAACAGAAAAGAGTTGGAAGGGACCTCGGAGGTCGTCTAGTCCAACCCCCTGCTCAGGCAGGAAACCCTGTACCATTTCGGACAAATGGCGGTCCCGTCTCTTCTTAAAAACGTCCAGTGTTGGAGCATCCACAACTTCAATCAATCGATCGATCGGAATACAGCTGGAAGGGGCCTTGGAGGTCATCTAGTCCAACCCCCTGCTCAGGCAGGAGACCCTATACCATTTCAGACAAATGGCTGTCCAGTCTCTTCTTAAAAACCTCCAGTGTTGGAGCATTCACCGTTTCTGGAGGCAGGTTGTTCCACTGGTTAATTGTTCTAACAGTCAGGAAGTTTCTCCTTAGTTCCAGGTTGCTTCTCTCCTTGATGAGTTTCCATCCACTGCTTCTTGTCCTGCCTTCAGGGGCTTTGGAGAAGAGCTTGACTCCCTCTTCTTTGGGGCAGCCCCTGAGATACTGGAAGGGTGCTATCATGTCCCCCCTCGTCCTTTTCTTCGTTAAACTAGACATACCCAATCCCAGCAACCGTTCCTTGTATGTTTTAGCCTCCAGTCCCCTGATCATCTTTGTTGCTCTTCTCTGTACTCTTTCTAGATTTTCAACGTCTTTTTTACATCGTGGTGACCAAAACTGGATGCAGTATTCCAAATGTGGCCTTACCAAGGCCTTGTAAAGTGCATCCCTCTCTTGATGCAATTGCCTGTACAAATTTTTGTATTTCTTTCAGAGAAGGTCCTTGGAACCCAAGGCTGACTGAGAGAGCATGACTGGATGGGTTGCAATCAAAAAGTTCGCCAAGCTGGGTGCATTGTTTGCACCATCATCACTGGCTGCCTATGGAGATTCTCAACCATCCAGGTCAAGATGTTTTTCCAGAAGACAACTGGACTTTCTTGTTTGTTTTTTTTAATCTTGAAAAATGTTTTGCTTTTCATTCAAGATGCTTCTTCAGTAGCAACCAGCCTGCCTTCCATTGAGGACCTGTGTATTGCGCGGGTCAGAAAGAGGCCTGAGTAAGCCTCTACAGATGCTGGACATCTCCTACCTGTTTCAACTCCTCCTCTCGGGACACCACCTTAGGGCACTGCATGTCAAAACAATTAGACACAAAGACAGGTTTTTTTTTTCCCCTGTGCCATTACTCTGCTGAACACCTAATCCTCACAATATTGTTTTACGTCTGAGTATATTTACCCGGGTTTTTTCGCTGTATTATTATTATCTTTCTCGTCCTTTCCACGTCCTTCTCCTATTGGCATCGTTATTGTGATTATTAATACTCTGTTGTTTTGAATGTACACTGAGAACTTCTGCATTGGAGACACATTCCTTGTGTGTCTAATCACAGTTGGCCAAATGAAATTCAATGGTGAAATAAAGTTCTACATTTAGGCAAGAAAAACCAAATGTACGGGTATAGTATAGGGGGTACCTTGCTCAATAGTAGCAACTGTGAGAGGGACCTCGGAGTCCTAGTGGACAATCCCTTAAATAGGAGCCAGCCGTGTGCTGCAGCTGCCAAAAAGGCCAACACAGTGCTGGGTTGCATGAACAGAGGGGTAGAATCAAGATCAGGTGAAGGGTTAATACCGCTTTACAAGGCCTTGGTAAGGCCACACTTGGAATCCTGCATCCAGTTTTGGTCACCACGATGTAAAAAAGTTGTTGAGACTCTAGAAAGAGTGCAGAGAAGAGCAACAAAGATGGTCAGGGGACTGGAGGCTAAAACATAGAAGGAACCGTTGCTGGAATTGGGTATGTCTAGTTTAACGAAGAGAAGGATGGGGGGGAGGACAGGATAGCAGACTTCCAGTATCTCAGGGTCTGCCCCAAAGAAGACGGAGTCAAGCTATTTTCCAAGGCACCTGAAGGCAGGACAAGAGCAACGGATGGAAATTAATCAAGGAGAGAAGCAACCTAGAACTAAGGAGAAACTTCCTGACAGTGAGGACAATTAACCAGTGGAACCACCTGCCTCCAGAAGCGGTGAATGCTCCAACACTGGAAGTTTTTAAGACGAGACTGGACAGCCATTTGTCTGAAATGGTATAGGGGGTTGGACTAGATGACCTCCAAGGCCCCTTCCAACTTTATTATTATAGTATTCTAGTTCTAAGAAGCTTCTTCAGTTCAGAGGTTTCTTCCGAAGAACTAAAGAAGCTTCACGGATGAGAAGTGAAATGTTTTCAAGGAAAAACAACAACAACAACGTGAAAGTCCAGTTCATCTCTTGTTCCTCCATCAATCCAAGATGGGAGGGATGTTCGTCCCACCTGAAACCCCAATTGCTAAAGTTTACAGAAATACTTACTGGGGAAGGAATGAAGGCATCATGGTATTTCTTGGGGTTTATCCTTAGGGGTCCCTTAAGAGAGAGGAAAAAAAAGAAGGAAAAATTGAAATTAGATTTCAGCAAAGAAGTTGCTTTAATGTGTTACCAGTAAGTCTGAACAGAAACCAGCAGCTGCTTACTACTGAGGTAAAACTTACTAATCGTGGCTTGGTTGCAAATAAGGCACTTGGTAAGATCCTCCGTAAAACTATTATAAAAAGCTAAAACTATTATAAAAAAGCTGAAGCTGCAAGGAGAATTGCAGAAGGACTATGGCAGGGGTCTTCAAACTTGGCTCTTTGATGATTTGTGGACTTCAGCTCCCAGAATTCCTCAGCCAGCCTCCATTTTGTTTGTTAGATTTAAGACAGGGGTCTTCAAACTTGGCCCTTTGATGACTGGTGGACTTCAACTCCCAGAATTCCTCAGCCAGCCTCCATTTTGTTTTTTAGATTTAAGACAGGAGTCTTCAAACTTGGCCCTTTGATGATTTGTGGACTTTAGCTCCCAGAATTCCTCAGCCAGCCTCCATTTTGTTTGTTAGATTTAAGACAGGAGTCTTCAAACTTGGCCCTTTGATGATTTGTGGACTTCAGCTCCCAGAATTCCTCAGCCAGCCTCCATTTTGTTTGTTAGATTTAAGACAGGGGTCTTCAAACTTGGCCCTTTTATGATTTGTGGACTTCAACTCCCAGAATTCCTCAGCCCTGGGAGTTGAAGTCCACGAGTCATAAAAGGGCCCAGTTTGAAGACCCCTGTGGTAAAGTACCGTATATGCCGCCGTATTAGGCGACCCGGCGTATAAGACGACCCCCGTCTTTATAGCCGGGCCGCATTCCTAGAACGTCATCTTATACGCCGGAAACTACCAGTATTTCCGGCGTATAAGACGACTCGGCATATAAGACAACCCCCGTCTTTGGCGCCGATTTCAGCGCTCGCGGAAGTCGTCTTATATGCCGGCATTTACGGTAATGATTTTATTAATCACAATGCTTTTGTACGTTGTTAGTTACCTTGAAGACCACTGAACTAAAACGCAAGGTATGTAAACATTAAGTGAAAATACAGATAGTCCTTGACTTACTACTTACAAGTGGGACTGGAATTTCCGTTGTTAAGCAAGATTGCTAAGCAAGTGGAACCCAAACTTAGCAGAATAACAGAGTTGGAAAGGACCTTGGAGATCCTCTAGTCTAACCCCTCTAGAAAAAGTGCAGAGAGGAGCAACAAAGATGATTAGCAGACTGGAGGCTAAAACATAGGAAGAACGGTTGCTGGAATTGGGTATGTCTAGTTTCATGAGAAAAAGGACCAGGGGTGACATGATAGCAGCCTTCCAATATCTAAGAAGAGGGAGTCAACTTATTCTCCAAAGCACCAGAAGGCAGGACAAGAAGCAATGGATGGAAAATAAACAAGGAGAGAAGCAACCTGTAACTAAGGAGAAACCTCCTAACCATGAGGACAATTAACCAGTGGAACAACCTGCCTCCAGAAGTTGTGGGTGCTCCAACACTGGAGTTTTTTTAAAGAAGAGGCTGGACAGTCACTTGTCTGAAATGGTATAGGGTCTCCTGCTTGAGCAGGGGGCTGGACTAGAAGACCTCCCAGGTTCCTTCCAACTGTGTTATTCTTTAATTCTTTTACCTGTATTAGTAACTGATACAAGGAAAGGAGAAACTTCCTGACAGTGAGAACAATTAACCAGTGGAACCACCTGCCTCCAGAAGCGGTGAATGCTCCAACACTGGAAGTTTTTAAGAAGAAACTGGAGAGCCATTTGTCTGAAATGGTATAGGGTTTCCTGCCTGAGCAGAGGGTTGGACTACATGACCTCCAAGGTCCCTTCCAACTCTCTTCTTCTTCTTCTTCTTCTTCTTCTTCTTCTTCTTCTTCTTCTTCTTCTTCTTCTTCTTCTTCTTCTTCTTCTTCTTCTTCTTCTTCTTCTTCTTCTTCTTTCTTCTTCTTCTTCTTCTTCTTATTATTATTATTATTATTATTATTATTATGTTCACATTTTTCTCTCTGTTTTGGTGTTTTTCTTGTGAGAGAGGCAAACAGAAAAGGACGGGATTGATCTCCTGTCTCTTCAAAAGCAGATGGGATTTATAATCCGTGCCTCCCAAAATCCTATTTACCCATTTTCACGCTGTGACATCATATCTGGAGCCAGCCGTTCTCCCCATCTGCAGGGAACAACTGTTTGTACATTTGTGCATCGAGGGCCAGGACTCTCCCCCCCCCCCAGAATCTCATGATGTCACCCCTCAACTTTGCAATCCTTTACACACAAATGGCGGCTAGGTTTTGGTCAGGAAAGGAGCAACGGCTACTGCTTTCCTCCCCGAAACATGGGAGACAAACACGCCGGAGGCCGAGGGGAGGCTGAAGGATCTGGGGGTGTTCAAGGCTGGGGGGGGGAAAGAACGCAAGGGGACACAACAGCTGTGTTCACGTAGTCCTCGATTTACAACAGTTTGTTTAGTGACCGGTCTCCTGGTTTCTAGGCCGGCGCCTTAAATTTCGGGGGATTTGAAGAAAAAAAAATGCTTTGCCCTTTGTTAAATTTCTGTGGAGATTCCGAATCATCCAGGTTGCCCCAAAGGTGCTTTTTTTCAACTGGACTTTCTTGTTTTTCCTTGGAAGACGTTTCGCTTCTCATCCCGGAAGCTTCTTCAGCTCTGACTGGATGGTGGGGGAATGGAAGGATTTATACTCCTTGTAGACAGCTGGTCATTTGCCTCCTTTTAGAGAGTCGTTGAGGCCACTTGGAGTTTTACCTCAGGGTCACCTGAGTGGTGCAAATGGGTGTGGAGCATTCTTGGAACTGCTGAAAGGACTGTGTTTGTGGACTGGACGACACCCTCTATCTCCAGTATACAACACGGCCTTTCAGCGGTTCCAAGAAGGCTCCACACCCATTTGCACCACTCAGGTGACCCTGAGGACACAGATAAACCTCAACGACTCTAAAACAGGGGTCTTCAAACGTGGCCCTTTTATGACTTGTGGACTTCAACTCCCAGAATTCCTCAGCCAACGTGCCTGGCTGAGGAATTCTGGGAGTTGAAGTCCAAAAGTCATAAAAGGGCCACGTTTCAAGACCCTTGCTCTAAACCTCTAGGTGGCCTCAACGACTCTCTAAAAGAAGGCAAATGACCAGCGGTCTGCAAGGCATATAAATCCTTCCATTCCCCACCATCCAGTCAGAGCTGAAGAAGCTTCCGGGACGAGAAGCGAAACGTCTTCAAGGAAAAAACAAGAAAGTCCAGTTGCCTCCTGAAACAAGCATCTTTGGGACCTCTGTTAAATTGTTTTCATTTGGGCGTCCTCCTTAAGAATCTCCATAAATAAGTCTAGATACAGTACAGAAATGCACAAACACCTTCTTTGGGGGGTTAATTCTAAATATTAGATTCCAATTGAATGTCACCATCTGTCAGGTCAGTGTTTCTGGCCCAGCTTTTAGAGAAGGCCTGGCACACACAATGGCCCGCCAAAAGTTTCCAGCACCTGAATCAGTGTTTTTCTCTTCAGACCCTTTGATACGTCCTCCTTCGACATGTAGGCTTCAAATATCTTCTTCCGCGTCCGACTGGCTTTGCTCCAATTCTTCCTCTCTCCCGGGGTCGAAGACGCAGCATAAGGGGCTCCTGAAAGCAAAGTCACCATCAACGGCCTTCTGGTTTATAACAGTCAAAGATAATGACTTTACAAAGCTTAAATAGGCAATTAGTGTTTTCTCCCTGTAAGGCTTTTTTAAAAAAAACAAACAAACAAACACTGAATTTATGTAGAGGATTCCCTGAATATGAGTTATGTTGAAGATTAACGTGTCAATAGAGATACAGAAGAGAATATATATCTCACCCTGCTTCTGTTTTGAAATGGCTTCCGGATTTTGTGCTTGTAATCAAAAAGAAAAATGAAACCTTGATTCTGTTTTTGCTAAGTAGGTAGGTTTATTGTTATAGAAATGGTTTGCATATAGTCCAGGGGTAGGCCACCTTGGCTCTTTGATGACTCGTGGACTTCAACTCCCAGAATTCCTGAGCCAGCCACGCTGAGGGGAAAGGGAGAGGTTTTCAAGCTGAGCCATGCTGGCTGAGGAATTCTGGGAGTTGGAGTCCACAAGTCATAAAAGAGCCAAGGTTGCCTACCCCTGTGCTAGGCCATGAGTTGTTTCACTATAATTTACTGAAACCACTATTGGCTGGTTTTGCCTTATAATGATCAATAGGGCTGACATATGGTGCTAAGGGCGTGAATTTAACCAGAGTTTGTTAAATCAGAGCAAGCCCCAAACAAAAACAATTATGGCTTAAATGTTAACAGGTTTACCGAACTGCAAACTGTTCCTTTGTCAAGTACTGTACTCCTCACACTTTCCAGAAATCTGGCTACAAGATCTTTCCCTCATGCTTAGAATACTGCAACACCCTCTATGTGGGGCTGCCTTTGAAGACTATTCAGAAGCTGCCGATGGGACAAATTGCGGTAATCTGGGTACTAGCGGTTTGAGTGTCTCAAACGCAGAATTGATGCTGGGTTTAATTCAGGGGTGGGCAACCTTGGCTCTTTTATGACTCGTGGACTTCAACTCCCAGAATTCCTGAGCCAGCCATGCTGAGGGGAAAGGGAGAGGTTTCCAAACTGAGCCATTCTGGCTGAGGAATTCTGGGAGTTGAAATCCACGAGTCATAAAGGGGCCATTGTTCCCCCTTGCTGGCTCAGGAATTCTGGGAGTTGGTCCACCAGTCATAAAAGAGCCCAGGTTGCCTACCCCTGGTATATACTATTGTGTAAAAGCAAAAAAGTTGTGCTTGTAATGTTGTTATCTTCTGCTGTGCTAAAGGGAGTCAGAAGTTGGTGTCTTTTTTTTTTTCCTTTTCCCTCTTTACATGAACTTTTTTTCTTTCCCCTCCCCCTTCTTCTAGTTTTCTATTACTTTCTTGAATTTCTCTTTGTATTTTATATTTGGACAAACCAATAAAACTATTATTACAAACAAACAAAAAAAAGAAGACAATTCAGACATCACGCTAATTCACGCTTTAAGAAGGAGTCAACAAACCGCCGAGGCCTGTGCTACCTGTCACAGTAAGCCGTGGTTTGCTGAATCATCATTTGTTGAATAGACACAATCCCCATTTCAATTTTTCCTTTTATTTTATTTACAAGTAATCCTAGACTTACAAGGCTTCATTTAGTGGCCTTTTAGGATTACAACGGCAGTGAAAGAAGTGACCTCTCACCGTTTTTCACACTTACGACCGTCGCAGCATCCTCGTGGTCACGTGATCAAAATTCAGACACTTGGCAACTGACTCATACCTATGACGGTCGCAGTGTCCCGGAGTTGTGTGATCTCCTTTGGACAAGCAAAGTCACTTAACAACTGTATTAGTAACTTAACAACGGCAGTGTTAACACTTAACAACTGTGGCAAGAAACAGCTGCCTTGCTCAACAATGGAAATTTGGGATTCCATTGCAGTCGTAAGGTGAGAATTACCTGTACAAAATTTCTCACTGGCCTTTCTGATGATGGTAAACGGTCCCTTTCAGTTTGCCCATTATCTATCTTCCAGAAGTCAACTTTTATCCCAAAGGTGTTTTTTTTTTTCAGGAGGCAACTGGACTTTCTTGTTTTTTGCTTCTCATCCCAGAAGCTTCTTCAGCTCAGACTGAATGGTGGGGAAATGGAAGGATTTATACTCCTTGCAGACAGCTGGTCATTTGCATTCTTTTAGAGGGTCGTTGAGGCCACTTGGAGGTTTACCTGTGACCTCAGGATCACCTGAGTAGTGTAAAGGTGTGTGGAGCCTTCTAACTGCAGGATGTTTTCTGCCTAGAGTAGAGTAGAGTAGAGTAGAGTAGAACAGAACAGAATAGAATGGAACAGAATAGAGCTGGAAGGGACCTTGGAGGTCTTCTAGTCCAGCCCCCTGCTCAAGCAGGGGGCTGGACTAGAAGACCAGGTGAATGTCACCTGGTCATCTCAGACAGGTGAATGTCCGGTCTCTTCTTAAAAATCTCCAGTGATGGAGCGCCCACGATTTCTGGTGGCAAGCTGTTCCACTGGTTAATTGTCCTCACTGTCAGGAAGTTTCTCCTTAGATCCAGGTTGCTTTTCTCCTTGATCAGCTTCCAACCATTGTTTCTCGTCCTTCCCTCTGGTGCTTTGGAGAATAGCTTGACCCCCTCTTCTTTGTGGCAGCCCCTCAGATACTGGAACGCTGCTATCATGTCTCCCCTATTTCTTCTTTTCTTTAGACTAGCCAAACCCAAGTCCCGCAGCCGTTCCATGAAATCCTTCCATTCCCCACCATCCAGTCAGAGCTGAAGAAGCTTCTGGGATGAGAAGAGAAACGTCCTCAAAGAAAAACAAAGTCAGTCCAGTTGCCTCCTGAAAACAAGCACCTTTGGGACCACCATGATCTGGATGACTTGAGAATCCCCATCAACTTTTAACTGGGGTTCTAACACGTTTCTCGCATGATAAAAATTAAAGCTAACGAATGACAGGAAACCTTGGGGTTCCAAGCTCACGAACCCAAACAAAGTTTCCTTACAAGTACCCCAAGACGGGGACCGTCTCTGTGCTGAACACATCCAACAGCTGCTTTTCGGAGGGCATAAAATGCGGGATTAGCGCAGGGAACAATGGAAGGCGGCCCAGCCCCGGGGGGCCGCTTGGGCGACGGAAGATCAGAAAAGGACAAGGAGTCCAGCAGCTGAGGAGAAAGTTCAGCCAAAGCCGCAAAATTGGCCGCCGAGCTTGAGGAGACATGTGCAAGCGGATCACCTCTCTGAGAAGGCGACTGGGTCCAACTTATGAGTCAGGCGGACACCGGCTGAGCTGAAACCTGGAACGCCGGCTTAGATCCACCTGGATCCGAGGCCTCCTTGGCCCTCTTCCCTGACTTCCCCAGCGGTGTTAATAGACAGCTGAAGGCCATGTTGGGGTCGACAGCCTGCTTGCCGCGGGACAGCTCGCTGTGGGACAATTCGACAATTCCATTATTTTAAAATAGATTAAAACATTATTTTAATTTTTGTCAGTCACATTCCATTCGCCCCCTTCTTTGGCATTCTTTCCTCAGCGATTCTATTCTATTGTTCAATACGAGTGTAAATCTTGTCCCGCGACAAGTTGTCCCGTGGCAGGTTGTCCCGTGGCAAATTGTCCTGTGCCGAGTTTTCACATGGTGAGTTGTTCCACGGCGAGTTGTCCCGTAGTGAGTTTTCCTGTGGCAAGTTGTCCCGTGGCAAGTTTTTCTATGCTGGATTTTCCCATGGTGAGTTGTTCCGTGGCGAGTTTTCCCATGCCGAGTTTTTCTATGATGAGTTCCTTGGTGAGTTTTCCTGTAGCGAGTTGGCTGTGGCAAGTTGTCATAGACCAGGGATAGGCAACCTTGGCTCTTTTATGACTCGTGGACTTCAACTCCCAGAATTACTGAGCCAGCATGAGGAACTATGGCCCCTTCATGACTTGCGGACTTCAACTCCCAGAATTCCTGAGCCAGCGTGGGGGAACTATGGCCCCTTCATGACTTGCGGACTTCAACTCCCAGAATTCCTGAGTCAGCGTGGGGGAACTATGGCCCCTTCATGACTTGCGGACTTCAACTCCCAGAATTCCTGAGCCAGCGTGGGGGAACTATGGCCCCTTCATGACTTGCGGACTTCAACTCCCAGAATTCCTCAGCCAGCGTGGGGGAACTATGGCCCCTTCATGACTTGCGGACTTCAATTCCCAGAATTCCTCAGCCAACGTGGGGAACTATGGCCCCTTCATGACTTGTGGACTTCAACTCCCAGAATTCCTGAGCCAGCGTGGGGGAACTATGGCCCCTTCATGACTCGTGGACTTCAACTCCCAGAATTACTGAGCCAGCGTGGCTCAGCTTGGAAACCTCTCCCTTTCCCCTCAGCATGGCTGGCTCAGGAATTCTGGGAGCTGAAGTCCACCAGTCATAAAAGAGCCAGGGTTGCCTACCCATGTCATAGACCCTCAAGGGAGAGTGCAGGGTAAACCTCAGCTGTTGAAATGACGGCTGTATTTGGTACATCTAGCCAGCCATGCTCCATAATTAACTGTGGTTTGGGTATTGGGTTTACTTTTGGTGGTTGAGTTCATTTAAAAAAAAAAAAAATCTTTAAGTGATTAAGACGTTAAGCTGCGCCAGTCAAATAAAACAGCACAATTCAAAAGGCAAAGTTAGACATGTAAATTGCACAATCCGACACAGCCGTACTAAACAATCCTAATTCCATCTCATATTTTATTAGTGTCTGCCTTTTAAAAAAAATGTGCTGCATGGATCCTACCTTTGGGAGTTCCTTGATGTCGGAAGTTCATCCTGCAATCGGAGCTGCTCACAGTGACAACTTGCGATTCGGACAGTTGTCGCCTCCTGTCCACATTTGGGGGGCCTCTGGTTGATTCAGAGTTGTTCCTGGGCCTGGCTGGACCTCGCTTGTCTGCATAGGGAAGAACCAAAAAACAAAATTTTTCAGTCTCAAGCTGCTGGGCAGGACAATCTTTTCCTGAAAATAATAGTAATAATAATAAAAAGATCTTTTCATCCGTTACTGAAGGTTCTCCTTCATCCCGATTATCGCAGCCCAGATTGGATAGGCCAGGGGTAGGCAACCTTGGCTCTTTTATGACTCATGGACTTCAACTCCCAGAATTCCTGAGCCAGCCATGTTGAGGGGAAAGGGAGAGGTTTCCAAGCTGAGCCAGGCTGGCTGAGGAATTCTGGGAGTTGAAGTTCGCAAGTCATGAAGGGGCCATAGTTCCCCCATGCTGGCTCAGGAATCCTGGGAGTTGAAGTCCACGAGTCATAAAAGAGCCAAGGTTGCCTACCCCTGGGATAGGCAGTCCTCGATTTACAACCACTGAAAGTTACAACAGCGCTGAAAACAATAGCTTTGAACCAGTCCTCGCACTTACGACCACTGCAGCATCTCCACGGCCATGTCATCAAATGTGGACCCTTGGCAACTGACCATGTATTTACGATGGCTGCAGCATTCCAGAATCATGAGATCACCATCTGCAACCTTCTCAGATGGTTTCTGAGATAAAAGTCGGTGGGGGAAGCCGGATTTACTTAATGACTGTGTGATTCACTTAATGACCGTGTGATTCACTTCAACCACTGCAGTGATTGGGTTAACAACTGTGGCAAAAGAGGTTGTAAAATCGGGCACGACTCGTTTAGCAAACTCCGCTCCCAATTGTGGCAGTAAGTCAAGAAGAGACTGGACAGCCATTTGTCCAAAATGGTATAGAGTTTCCTGCCTGAGCAGGGGGTTGGACTAGATGACCTCCAAGAACCCTTCCTTATTATTGTTATTATTAACTATTCAACCACACAGTGTCAGCCGTGCCACACACAAGCAGCGAGCTTTGTTGGGTGTGCTTCGCACGGCTGTACCTCTCTGGTATTGGGAGGTACCCGAATCTTGATAACTAATTACACCCAAGAAGCGTTCAGGAGTATCCCTGTCACCAATTCTCATTCTTCTTGGCACACCCTGGATTTCCATACCTGTACGTGCTAAATAATCGCCACACCTGGAATACTGCCGACAGTTTTGGTCAGCTTATCACAAAAAAGATGTGGAGAGTTTGGAAAAAATTCAGAGAAGAGCAACTAAGACAGACATGTCAAACACAAGGCCCGGGGGCCGGATGCGGCCCGCGAAGCGGTTTCATGTAGCCCGGGAAGCCATCCTGGAAACAGTGAGGGAACGGCCCCCCACTGCCTTGGCCCTGGTCCAGGCTGGGCGGGAGCCAATGTACAATTTTGTGGTGGCCATCTATGCTGAAAGGCATTCAGTCTTAGCTCCACAAGGCCGTCTGGATACAAAGCCAGGTCTCCTTCCATGGAGAGGGAATGGGCCTCCCTGTGACTTTGCCCTCGTACCCATCATGAGCAACCTGGCTAAGGAGAGCAAGCACAGCAGCAGCAGCCTTGAGGAGGAGGTAAGTGCAGCTGGGCGCCCCCTTGGGAAGTGGGGCTGGGCTTGGTGCCATGGGTGTTTGACCTCTGCTGCCCAGAGCTCCAGGCAGCCCGCACCACCATACAGCCCCCCCCCCCGCATGGCCTGAGAGGAACAGTGAGGCTCCTCCAGTGGACCATGCCTTGGTACTTGCCCTGGTCCCACCCCCTTCTGCCAGAGACCCCCAGATCTGCCCCACTCCTGCCCAGACCCCCACAGGCACCCTTGACGCACATGATGTAGAGCTGGCCATGCCCACCCAGTAGGCCACTCCCACTCCATCCACGCCCACCCAGTGGCCCGCACCCACCCTGGCCACACACCCCCGAGGGCAACCGCAATGCTGATGCGGCCCTCAATGAAATTGAGTTTGACATCCCTGAACTAAGATGATCCAAGGCCTGGAGACCAAAACATACGAAAAACGGCTGCGGGACTTGGGTCTGGCTGGTCTAAAGAAAAGAAGAAACAGGGGAGACATGATAGCAGCGTTCCAGTATCTGAGGGGCTGCCACAAAGAGGAGAGGGTCCCATTATTCTCCAAAGCACGAGAGGGAAGGACAAGAAACAATGGTTAGAAGTTGACCAAAGAGAGAAGCAATCTGGAATTAAGGAGAAACTTCCTAACAGTGAGGACAATCAACCAATGGAACAGCTTGCCTCCAGAAATTATGGGTGCTCCATCCCTGAAGATTTTTAAGAAGAGACTAGACAATCACCTGTCTGTGTCGGTATAGGTTCTCCTGCTTGAGCAGGGGGCTGGACTAGAAGACCTCCAAGGTCCCTTCCAGCTCTATTCTATTCTCTAATACTCAGGGGAAAATCCAGAAACCTGCAAGGGAGGCCCGAGAATTAGAAATCAGAAACCCAGCCACTGAATTCACTACAAATTAAAAATCTGATCAACTGATTATTAAGATAAAAAGAAAACAGGGACAAAATGCAAATGAAGCCATCACTTACGCAGTGTTCTCAACTTTGACAATTTTAAGGCATGTGGACTTCAACTCCCAGAATTCCACAGCCAGCAATGCTGGCTGTGGAATTCTGGGAGTTGAAGTCCACATATCTTAAAATTGTCAAGGTTGAGAAACACTGACTTACAGACATTATAAAGATGCTGAGACTCTGGCAAGAGTGCAGAGAAGAGCAACAAAGAGGATTAGGGGAATGGAGGCTAAAACACACAAAGAACAGAGGCAGGAATTGGGCAGGTCTGGTCTAGTGAAAAGAAGGACAAAGGGAAACATGATAGCAGGGTTCCAATGTTTGAGGGGCTCCTAAAAAGACGAGGGGATCAACCTATTCTCCAAAGCCCCTGAAGGCAGGACAAGAAGCAACGGATGGAAACTCATCAAGGAGAGAAGCAACCTGGAACTAAGGAGGAATTTCTTAACAGTGAGAACAATTAACCAGTGGAACAACCTGCCTCCAGAAGTTGTGGGTGCTCCATCACTGGAGGTTTTTAAGAAGAGACTGGACAGCCTTTTGTCTGAAATGGTATAGGGCCGTGGTGGCGAACCTATGGCACGGGTGCCAGAGGCGGCACTCAGAGCCCTTTCGGTGGGCACACACGCCGTCACCCCAGTCCTAGGCCTTCAGCTGGGTTTTATAAAACCTTTCCGCTTTAGGCCTCTGCCGTCGTGTGCAAAAAAAAAAGAGGTTCAATCAATCAATCAATTTCAACTTCTCGTGGGGGAAAAAAAAAGATCTCGCAAAGTTGGAACTGATTGATTGAATTTTTTAGTCCCACCCAGTCTGCCGTTATCACTGCAGCCACGCCCACCCAATGGGCTACGCCCACCCAATTGGCCACCCCCACCCAATGGGCCACACCTACCCAATGGGTCATGCCCACCTGGCACCCGATGATACATAAGTGGGTTTTGGGCTGCAGTTTGGGCACTCGGTCTCTAAAAGGTTCGCCATCACTGGTATAGGGGTTCCTGCCTGAGCAAGGGGTTGGATTAGATGATCTCCAAGGTCCCTTCCAGCTCTATACTGATTGATTGATTGATTGATTGACTGATTGATATGATATGATAGCAGTCTTCCAGTATTTGAGGGGCTGCCAGAAAGAAGAGAGAGTCAACCTATTCTCCAAAGGACCTGAAGGCAGGACAAGAATCAATGGATGGAAACTAATCAAGGAGAGAAGCAACCTAGAACTAAGGAGAGACTTCCTAACGGTGAGGACAATTCACCAGTGGAACCACTTGCCTCCAGAAGTTGTGGGTGCTCCATCTCTGGAGGTTTTTAAGAAGAAACTGGACAGCCACCTGTCTAAAATGGTATGGAGTCTCCTGCTTCAGCAGGGGGATGGACTAGAAGACCTCCAAGGTCCCTTCCAGCTCTATACTGATTGATTGATTGACTGATTGATTGACATAGCAGTCTTCCAATATTTGAGGGGCTGCCACAAAGAGGAGGGAGTCAACTTATTCTCCAAAGCCCCTGAAGGCAGGACAAGAAAAGATGGATGGAAACTCATCAAGGAGAGAAGCAACCTGCAACTAAGGAGAAACTTCCTGACTGTTAGAACAATTCACCAGTGGAACTACCTGCCTCCAGAAGTTGTGGGTGATCCATCACTGGAGATGTTTAAGAAGAGACTGGACAGCCACCTGTCTGAAATGGTACATAGGGTCTCCTGCTTGAGCGGGGGGCTGGACTAGAAGACCTCCAAGGTCCCTTCCAGCTCTATTGTTCTGCTATAAAGGCATTTGGTAATAAACACAACCAATCCTAGGATCGTATCACAGTTCCAACAAAGGAATATGAGGGGTGGGCGCTTAGAAATCTACCCATCCACCCTCGATGTGTACTCCATCAGGAAACCCACCCTTTTTTAACAGCCAATTCTCAACTGTTGGTGAAAAGTGTTCTTTCTCTCTGCCCCTCCCCTTCCTGATTCTACCTAGGAAGGGTTTCTGTCCTCACAACAATTCCCCCCCTACCCCCCTACCCACCCCTACAATGGCAAACCAAGCAACCAGATTCCAGGTTGCGGTGGCTGCAGCTCAAAGCACACACAAGTCACCAAATTGTCAGACCTTGATTTTTTTTTTTTAAAGAAGCAATTCTGAAAAGGATTTTTTTTAAAAAATGGATTTTGAAGAGCTGGAGAAAGGGGACTTTAGACTTTCTCCCATTTTTCCAGCCGGGAGAATCAGAAATAGTTGAATTTTCTCTAAAAATAAATAAACAAATCCCACCCTGTTGGGATCTAGCCCATCTAGCCACCGTGACTCTTTGATGACTCGTGGACTTCAACTCCCACAATTCCTGAGCCAGCCATGCTGAGGGAAAGGGAGAGGTTTCCAAGCTGAGCCATGCTGGCTCCGGAATTCTGGGAGTTGAAGTCCACGAGTCATGAGGAGGCCATAGTTCCCCCATGCTGGCTCAGGAATTCTGGGAGTTGAAGTCCACGAGTCATAAAAGAGCCAAGGTTGCCTACCCCTGACCTATAC